GGAGCCCGATGCGGGACTCGATCCCAGGACCCTGGGATCATGACCTGAGCCGAAGGCAGACGCTTAACCATCTGAGCCACCCAGGCGCCCTGAGTCCTCCTTTTAAAATCATTATTTACCCTGTGTATTTTTTAGAAGGCAGCACTATAGTTTTGTGGTTTGATGTATTCATACACAGGTGTATGAATTGTAAGGACTTCCACCCCCTAAGCTGTGTTGCAGAGAAAAGAGCTCCATTGCAGAGAAATTCGGTCCCCCTTGCAGTTAGCTAGGGGCTTTAATCAATTACAGCTGTGGTAAAGGGTGGCTATGGATTCAATTCTGAGTATCTACCCTTTCCCGAGACTGCAGTTTAATTCGATATAAGCTAGTTCATACTTTGGGGATGAAAGTCCGATTGGTGAAAACAGTATCACCATCTTTAAAGACTGAGGTGAAGGGTACAGCTAGCAAAAATGCTGGTGAAAAAGATCCTGTGTAACATCATTAATCTGTTAATTAACTAATTAACTAATATGCTATCTTTCCTTATAGGAAAAATATCAACGTGAGCAGGAGAGACTCAGGGAAGAGTGGCAAAGGGCTAAGCAGGAAGCCGAGAGAGAGAATTACAAGTACTTGAATGAGGTAGTAGTGTTGGAATGTGCTGTGTTCTTCTCTGTCTCAGTGAAATTAGCCGAGACGGAAGATCCTCTATTTCACCTGGCTTTTGCCACATATCCACTTATATAAGCTCTTTGAAAAACACAATGAGCTCTGATTTGTCAGAATTTTGCTCTGATGTTTCAACCTTTCTCTTAGTTTCTCTACTGTATCATTACTGCTTCTATTAATGGACCCTAACTGCATCTTTCTCTTTGTACTTATATTTCACCCACATGTGGCTTTGTTAGCGATAAAACTTTTAACATCATTTCGAGTGGAAATCGGGCCAACTACAGTCAGTCTCTCAAACTGAATATAAATAAATGAAATTATAGTGATACACAGATTCGGATGGGTTTCTCTTTCCCCCCTGGTCACATAGGAACTGATGGTCCTGAGCTCAAACAGCATTTCTCTGCCCACCCGGGAGCCTGCCGTGGCCACCTCGGAAGCCTCCTGGGGTGAGGGGTCCAAGTCGTCAGACTGGGAAGGGACCCGAGCAGGAGAGGAGGAGAGGAGACAGCCAAAAGAAGGTGCAGAGGAGGACCAAAGAAAGAAGCTGCAGGAGCAACTCACGCTTGAGAAAGAGAGGAAACTGAAGGAGCAACAACATGAGGAAGAGCCAGAGCAGAAGCAGCGTCAGGAGGAGGCCCAGGAGCAGAAGCACCAGGCAGAGAGAGAGAGGGAAACTTCAGTCAAAATATACCAGTATAAAAGGTTTGTCCTACAGCCGAAGGGCACTGTGATGTTTTTATATTGGCTTGGCTTAGCTTGGTCCATTCCCCACTTCAGAGGCTCCTAGTTGGTCCCTACCATCCATTTTCTACACAAGCAGCCCAAGGGAGACACCCTTTACATTGCACACCTGTTCCTGTTGCCTTACAACTGTTCAGATGGCTTTCCTGTCACATTAGAATACTACCCAGGTGCTCGCTGTGACCTAGAAGGCTCACATGACCTGGATTTTGACCCTCTGGTCTACTTGGCTTCCTACCACTCTTCCCCTCGCTCTGTGTGTTCCAGCCACACTGGCCTCCTTTTTCTTCCTTGAAAATGTCCAATGCATTCTGCCCCCTGAACATCTGCATTTTTTAGTCCCTGTGCTTGCAGAGAGCTTCCCTCACCTCTTTCCTTGTCTTCCTCATTTTCTTTAATAAGTCTCTGCTCAGATGTCACCTTCTCAGACTTTCCAGAATACGTTACATGTGCCTTTTCCCCACACCTTCTCCTCATATGCCTTACCCTGTTTTATGTTCTGTATTGGTTGTCCACTGAAATGTAAGAATTACATTTAATACTCTTTTTGTTTTGTTTGCTTCAGTAACCCAGCCCTAGAACAGTGGCAGGCACTCCGTATACGGTTGTGGGATGAATGAATTGCTAATCTCTGTTGGTATTAATAGGTCTTCTTTCTACAGTGATTGATCGAAATGCTTCTGTATGTTTAGTTTTCAACCCAGAGACCATCTCGAAAAGAGGCTAGAATAACATTGTTTTGATGTCAATTTCTCAAACTCAGGAAGAGTGTTAAAGTCTACTATGTTGACCATAAACTCTTCTTTCTATCTTTTAGGCCTGTTGATTCCTATGACATACCAAAGAGAGAGCAAAAATCTTCAGGGCTGCTTCCTAGTGACAGGTATATGGGACATTTTGTTGTAATTTAGTTGGAATAATTGACTTGAGATGAATATTTGAGGGCTCGCCTAGATGTATTTTAGAACTACTTTAGCTCTTGATCTTTTGTGGGATATAAAAAGATCTTGCTGGTTGATCTTTGTATGGACTAGCTTTTGCTGTGTAACCAGCTACCCCTAAACTTAGTGATTTAACATGATTTTGTAGGTAAGTATTTTGGGCTGATCCTAACTGGCAGTTCTTTTAGTTGATTGGGCTCCTCCTACATGTCCTACTAGTTTACTAGGCAGCTCTGCTTTGGGGAGTTGGCTGTCAGCTGGGACAGTGAGAACAACTAGAGCATGTTCTTTCAAGATCCAGCAAGCCAGTGCAGTCTTATGTACATGGTGGCTGAGCAGAGAAGACAGAATTAAAGAGAGGAAACATGCAAGGTACCTTGCTGTCTATGTTCTGAACTGGCCCACCAATGCTTCTGTCACATTCTATTACCTAAAGTAAAATCACAGGCCAGCCCAAGTTCACAGAACAGAGAAAAACTTTACCTCTTTATGGGAGGAGCCGCAGTGCAAGGGGAATGGACACAGGGTAGAATTGTGTTCATTTTGTGCAACTGCCTTCATTTTTATTTTAAGGAGGTTATAAGCAACAGCATCAGCTTGCCCCAGGTGAAGTTACATGTGGACATCTGAAACGAGAATTGTGGCCTTCTCTGAGTTTGATGAGAACTACTGGTCAATTCCAGGCAATGTTATCTACATCTTAAAATTTCCTGAGACATAAATTTAATGTTTAAAAGTAATTTTTAAAATACTTGGCAGTTTTGAAATTACCAAGGACTTCTGAATAGACTCTGTCTATAAATATCCAGTGTATGACCATTAATTTGTGTTTTCAGAGCTGACATTTCTTCCTTAGGAATTTACCTTAGAGATATGGAAAGATTCATCTCCACAGGCAACCAGGCTGACTGAGTAGGACTCCGAGTAGATAGGGAAAATTAATATATAGGTAGTAATGTGCTGACACTAAGCTAGAAAAAGTTTTAGTGATGGATGGTCTTATTTATAATGAGGATTTCTGGGGAACTGTGGATCATTAATGTGTATCTCTCTTTTTTTAAAGATATGCATTTATTTATATATTTATAATCTTTACGTAGCTTATAACCTGCAGGCAATAATTATATTGCAGGAGAAAACGTAACAAATCCTGGAAAATACAGAACACTGCCAGGCAGTTGAGGTACAGCATGCCTTAGAGGCGTTAAAGGGTGTGGCAGAACATGTTGCAATAAAATTATTTTCTACGTTAATACAAATGAAACCACTCATGAAAGTTGTCAGCAGTTGCGATACATTATGTATTGTACTTTATGTATGTTGTATACGTGTGCATATGCATTGTATGCATGTACATATGTAACGTATACATATGATAATGTATATTATTCATTATTACCACTATTGTTTGAAGTTACGGTGCTTAGTAAAGTGAGAACGAGACCAGCGTGGGTCGATACAGAAACTTAAACGTTGCCATTACAAAATGAGTTATCTTCAGAGGTTGCCTCTGCCAGGATGCTTGAATACCTCTTTGCACAGCTAAGGTAGCATTTGGTGAGCAGCTGTTTTGGAGGAAGTACCCCCAAAATTGATTTCTTGACCCTTGGGCAGCATGAAGGAAAGGACAGTATGATGTCAGGTGATCTGATGACAGATGCTGGTACCCCCTGTACGGTTGAGATCTGGAAGGGAATCAAAGTATACAAATTGGTAAAAAATCATAGGCTTAGTCATCCTACAAACTGGAGAGAATCTTTGCATATTCTTCACATGCTCTTCTCTCATTTAGAGACGTCACTGTTTTCTGCTACCTTGTACAACATGAAAAATTCCTTATTAAGAAGATAAATGTAGCTTTCCACAGATACAGGAATTAAATCAACTGCTTTAAAAAGCAAGCTTTTTGGCGTTTTTACATCATAAATGTAAAAAAGATGTTCTTAATGAGATGTCTATAATATGTTGTATTTTGTGTTATAGGAATAAATCCAGATCCACAACTGAACTGAATGATTACCCTACAAATAAAAATGGTAAATGTGAATTTTTTTTCCCAAATTCTTCAGCACAGTTGCTTCTTTATGCTATCACATGCTATGATAGTATTTTTAAAGTCAACGTATTTCAGATTCATTAAGATAACATAATTAAAATACCAAGTATTTTTAGATTTGTGTATAAAAACAAAACTAACTTATGTTTATTTTGGCTTTACTTTATAATGGAGGGAGTACTGGGAGATTAAAATAGTTTTAAATAGCTAATGAAACATGTGGAAATTTTTCAGTATTATTGATAGTTTTGTATAGATTTTATCTTGCAGCCAAGGAAATGGGACAGAAAAGTTTTCTGCAGAATACCAGGGGACTTAAAAGTTGTTTATAAACTTGAAATTGTACATTTAAGTGTCAAGATGTCCAAAAGTCCAAAATGATCATGATTTTGCTAACCTGGCAAAAATGATTTGGAACCCGATATTGTTAGTATAAAGTGTATTTTTAGGAATGCATGTAACTGAAATTATACAACTACGGAAAAAAAAAACCACTAAGCAAAAAGCATGATTTTAAGCAGCGTTTGCTTACCAGGTTTTGGGCAAAGCAGGGTGCTTGCTGGTCAGTTATATAAATGAATGAAGGTCTAGGTGAGGATTGGGGTGAATTTGGTGGACAAGCCCACTGGGTGGGTAGCCACGTGGAGGAATGCAAGCCTGCCCTTGCCATGTGGGAGAATGCAAGGCCAGTGTTTCTGTGGTTAAAGAGAAGTTAAAAACAGTGTGGATTTTCATGTTATCTTTTAAGCGCTGACAAGGATAAATAAAATTTAAAGCCCTCTGTGAGCCAAACCACACATCTACAGGCCTTAAATGGTCAGGTGGAAGCTAGTGTGTAACCTCTGGTTACAGCTTGTAAAATTTAGTTTCTATTAGGTCCTATGATCACTCCTTCTCCTTAACACTTAGGAGCTTCCATTATCTGGTCCTACTTTAAATTTCCAGCTCTTTTGCTCTTTTTGCTATTAGGGACCCTTATCTAAAACCAGAATTTTCTCTTTTGCAGTTGCCAATTGATCAGATGCTCTCTGGTCTTACTTGTTTGGATTTCTGGGTTTCTTTTGCCCTTGAATTTGTCCCTAGCCACCATTAAAATCAATCAGTACTTTAAGTACTTCGATCTTCAGTATGTGTTTTCTTCCCTCTACTAACCCTAAGCTCTTGACAAGCAGGCAGTGAACTTATGAAATATTTTATTGAAAAACTTGGTTATGCCAATAAGGCACTTTTAAAATAGGAAATATTTAATTTAAAATCTGACCAAATTGATAGGCTGTGGGCACCCACAAAGGTAAATATAGGTGGGCATGAGAAAACTTTGGCCTTGTTCACTGCTTGCTGGAAGATGAACTAAGGCAGAGATGCACTGTGAATTTAGAAAAATTAATAATAGTGGTAAATCTGGAGAGTGAAAGGGAATCCTGAGATGGAATTTCCTAATCCTAATCCAAATTAAAGGGGGAAGAAACTTCAAAGTTACAGACGTTTTACCCAAATCAGAAATTAATCAGCAAATCCAAAATGAGACAAAGCCTTCAGGGTAAAACCTAACTGAATTGTCATGCATATATTCAACATCCAAATTATAGTTTTGTCAGTTTCTCAGAGGACAAACAAGTCTGTTAACAGTCCTTGGTTAACATTTGGGTTACTTGGATATTTTTCAGTCTCACAAAAGCTATTTTAGTGGTTGAAGGTGCTCTCATTCCTACAATTTGTCATGGCTTATTGTAGAACTTATACCAGGAAGACTTGAGTGGAGTCAGCTGGAGAAACAGGCATATAAGTCTTGCTCTCCCCAGGGGGAGTGTAAGTTTTCGAAGGCATTGTCACAGCAAGTTTTCAATGAGCGCATGTGTTTGATTGATTTAATTTCAGAAGGAAGGGACAAGTGGAAGAGAAATTATTTGTAGGCGAGCACTTTGTTACTTAATAGTGCTGAAATCAATGCTGGTTGTTTCTTTTTTTGGGCAGCCTCCTTAAGTCTTCCTAAGTGCGCTCTGTGGCATGCCTCTGGGTGTGGAACTGGAATTTCCAGGAATCGCAGATTTGACTTTTAGGTTCCCATGCAGTGGTCTCATTGAGAATTGATGTTACATATGTGTACAATGTCACATCTTTTGCCACATTGTATTTGGAGGTTTATCCACAATCACCCCCCCCCACCTTTAATAACGTGCTAATCCTACAGCTTCTGGTGTGTTTTTAATTTAGGAGGCAATAAATATTTAGACCAAATTGGGAGCACTAGCTCATCACAGAGGAGCTCCAAGAAGGAACAAGTCCCATCGGAAGCAGAGTTAGAGAGACAACAAATTCTTCAAGAAATGAGAAAGAGAACATCTCTTCTCAATGACAACAGCTGGATCCGGCAGCGCAGTTCCAGTGTACATAAGGAGCCGATCTGTCTGCCTGGGATTATGAGAAGGTGCGGGACTTTTTAGGAGTTATTTCCTCTTCTGTACTCTGAAGCAGATGTTTAATTTCTAGACATTAAGTTTTGAGGTGGTGTACGATACAGCAATGTCTCTTTCTTTTATAGTAGTATAGTATTCTGCCTTATCACAATTCATATCAAAATTGACTGGGCAGCTCTTTGGATGATGTTGGTTGGGGCACTTGGACAGTTACAGTTCTTTTGAGTAGAGGTTGGCAATTTTTTTTTTTTGTATGAAGGACCAGATAGTAAATAATTGTGGCTTTGTAGGCCACATCAGTCTCTGTCACATATTCTTTGTTTTTTTTTATGACCATTTGAAAATTAAAATTACCCTTAGCTCACGATCTGTACATATCCTGACAGTGAGCTATAATTTGCTGTACCCCTGATGTTGATGCTGTCCTGAGAGGTCCTCAGGAGCTATTGGTGGGGAGCTGCTGGTCAGGAGCTTCTGCTCCCTCGCAGCCCCTCCACATAGCTGCTTGGGCTGCCTCATGACATGGCACCTGGATTCAAAGAGAAAAGCTTGCGGAAGATAAGCCCTAATGTGCAAGTGTTTACAGACCTCCATTTGTATATGTTTGCTTATGTCCCATTGGCCTAACATGTCATATGGCCAAGCAGAGAATCAGTGGGAGGGGACCACACAATGGCATGGATACCAGGAGGATAATTCACTGGAGCCCTCTAAAGTGCTGTCTTTGTGTGAACTGACTTGAAGATAGCTCTGAGATAATATGTTACCTGGAATAAAGTGAGTTATGAAGAGTATGCATTGTAGAGTAATCCCATTTAAGAGTGTTAAACTCATGAACCCATTGCATATGTATATAGACATGGCTCTACTCGTAAATTTGTCTCTGTATGAAAATCTGTATGTAACAGAAAAAGTCTAGAAGCTAACAGTGGTTACCTCTGGGAATTAGGGCAGGTAAATTTTGGTAAGTGAGGGTGGAGGGAAAATTTATTCTTCCCTCAAATACCCTTCTATATTGCTTGGGTCTTTCTCATCACAATGATGTAGTAGTTCTATAACTTTAAAAGAAAAAAATAGGGGCGCCTGGGTGGCTCAGTCGTTAAGCGTCTGCCTTCGGCCCAGGTCATCATCCCAGGGTCCTGGGATCGAGCCCCACATCGGGCTCCCTACTCTGCGGGAGGCCTGCTTCTCCCTCTCCCACTCCCCCTGCTTGTGTTCCCTCTCTCACTGTGTCTCTCTCTGTCAAATAAATAAATAAAATCTTTAAAAAAAAATACATATTTCAAACTTGGGATAAGAGTTCAAGTTTTAAATGTAATAACAAATTTGACCTGTTAGAAATAAACCACTTAGGGATGCCTGGGTGGCTCAGTTGGTTAAGCGTCTGCCTTCAGTTCAGGTCATGATCCCAGGGTCCTAGGATCGAGCCCCACATCTGGCTCCCTGCTCAGCGGGGAGTCTACTTCTCCCTCTCCCTCTGCCTGCCGTTCTGCCTACTTGTGCTCTCTCTCTCTCTTTCTGTCAAATAAATAAATAAAATCTTCTAAAAAAAATAAACCATTTATAATTTGGAGTCAATCTTTGTAGATCAGAATTAATATAATCACTTGAATTCATTCAAGAGAGATTTTCTGAAAGTTGTATTTAAATCAGTTTGTGAGCTAAATTTGATTTTATTTTTTTAAATAATTTTTGAGCATCTTATTTATTTATCTATATATCTATCTATTTGAGAGAGAAAGACACAGAGAGCTGGGGGAGGGGCAGAGGGAGAGGAAGAGAGAATCCCAAGCAAACTCTGCACTGAGTGTGGAGCTCGATGCTGGGCTCGATCCCAGGACCCTGAGATTACAACCTAAGCTGAAACCCAGAGTCGTCCACTTAACTGACTGAGCCACCCAGGTGCCCCAACTCTATTTTAAATGCATATTCAGTTTAAGGGAAGTGGTTGGTGAATGCTTCTATAAGATGGACATTAGACAGTTGATTAAATTCAGGGTTTGGGGTGAGGGTGAGGACTGTAGAATAGGAATTATCTGGATTACTCTGGAATCAAGGAGACACTGGTTTGAAAGCCAGTTCCACCACTAACTAGCTCTTTTTCATATGGGCAAGTTAACTTCTAGAGATATAAAAAAAAGTGTTGTGAAGATTAAATAAGTTAAAAATTTTGTGACCGTGTTTAGTCTAATACCTGACATATGTAAGTGCCTAAATGGTATTTTTCTTTTGGTTGGGCTTCAAAAATTAAGATTGGTATGTCTAATCCATTGAAGATTTAAAGGAGGAATGTATGTCTTGGTAGTAGTTTATTAAAAAAAATTTTTTTTAGTATTCTCTTTTCCACTTCGGTGTTTTTTCTTTAAGCACCAAGTAAATAAAAATGAAAATAAGTGAAGATTAATTGAATATGAAACATCGTGATGTTGATGAAAAGAAACTTTATTTATTAAAGGTAATTTTATATGTAACTGGACTTGTTAGATTAATACATACTTATAAAATACATAAAATGGGTATTTTAGGGACTGTAATGATGTATTGATTCTAGTTGAATGTATTATATAGTCTTTTTAAAAATTTTATTATGTTATGTTAATCACCATACATTACATCATTAGTTTTTGATGTAGTGTTCCATGATTCGTTGTTTGCATATAACACCCAGTGCTCCATGCAGGACGTGCCCTCTTTAATACCCATCACCAGGCTAAGCCATCCTCCCACCCCCTCCGCTCTAGAACCCTCAGTTTGTTTCTCAGAGTCCATAGTCTCTCATGGTTCGTCTCCCGAAATCGGAGAGGGAATGTATTATATAGTCTTAATGAACTCTTTCCATGTTTCAGAGGTGAATCTCTAGATAACCTGGATTCCCCAAGATCCAGTTCTTGGAAACCATCCCCTTGGCTCAATCAGCCTTCAGGAATCCATGCTTCTTCCTCTGTTCAAGACTTCAGTCGCCCCCCGCCTCAGCTGGTGTCCACGTCAAACCGGGCCTACATGCGGAATCCATCCTCCAGCATCCCCCCTCCTTCCACTGGTTCCGTGAAGACCACCGCTGCACCTTCTCCCACACCACGCAGCCATTCTCCTTCAGCATCACAGCCGGGCTCCCAGCTCCGCAACAGGTGAGAACCTTTGTCTCGGGGAATTTTTCATTAAAATTTTCCCAAAGTCTTGTCCAAATTTTCTAGTGAAAACCAAAAACAAGCCTTTTGGAATCTGTCAAATTCAGTGTTCCTTTACCAAATCAATTAAAGGCTTCTTAATGGCTTTCCATGCTACCCTAAGAGCATTTATGGATGTCTTGTGAAGCCATTGGAGACCTTTAAAACATGTACCTCATTGCCACTGTCTTGTTTGCTTTTGCCTGTGGTCAGTGCAGACATACTCATGTAATTCTCAGCACGGAAGCATAAAAATACACAGTAGCTTATGAATTCATTTGCAGTTTATGACTGAGAGCAGTATTGTAAAATGTTTGACTTTTATTGAGACTACAGTACAAACTCTTTTTATAGGAACTGAGTTGAAAAGGAAAGCATTATAACCAAGCTCCATTGTCTGTGGAACTTTTAACAAGCTGAATAGAAAAATGTTAAGTAGTTAGATACTGCTTTTTTTGTTTGTTTTTGGTTTTCAAAACCATTGCTGGCTTCTTATCTAGTTTGCCGACATTTTGTTCAGACTACATCAACTGAATTCTGTAGGTTATATGCTGCAGGTACTGGGTAAGAGTTATAACTATAGGTCTTGACTCCATTTGTCTTTTGATGTGGAGTAAAGCACAGATATCAACACGCGTTGGGTTTTGAGGTTTGCATAGCTTCTCTACAGACAATCAGTGCTTCACGAAGCCCTACACAGCAATGTTTCTGCTGTCATCTGAAGGGAGTTCTACTGGCATATAGTATTTTCCATTGCAAGTGAGGTCCTGAAAAGTAAAAACATGGTGATAAGTATTGGAATTTTTTTTAGCTGTCAGGGGATTTTGTTAAGAAAACATATCCATCTAAAATAATGTTACTTGTACCAGGATCTCTAAAATGTGTATCATAGGGTTTGACTTCAGAAGGGGTGCAAATGTGTGGTAAATGTTGGGCAGAGATGAAGGCTCTCGAGTGGGAGGAGGCAGCATTTACTCACTGAGAGCTCCACCCTAGGAGAGGGCTCTTCTGCCCCGGAGAGGTCTCTGTCTCGGAGGTGGTCCTCTCGTGTGAGGCCCTTGGCAGTTCTGTACTTTCAGAGTCACTAACCTGGGCCAGTACTGTGGGATGCAGTGGTACTAAGTGACCTTTACCTTCCCACCTGGGACAGGAGAGACTTGCATCCAAAGGAAAGCAGCCACCGTCCTTACCTGTGTCCATGGTAGGTGTCAGCAACTTGTCATCTCCTCCTCCCAGAGGCAGTCCTGGAAGCCAGGGGCACCGTCAGGAGAGCACTGGTCTTTCTGTGTAACTGGAAGAGCAGGTGAATGAGGAGGAGAATGGGAAGATAAGATTAAGATGGTGGAAGAGGCGCGTAGAGCCTTCTGGGTGGAGCTGGGGCTGCTCTCCTAGGGTCCGGCCGGGTGTGACAGGAGGAGGGCTGGGCTTTGGCCGGTGACCTGGCTGGATTAGAGGAGGGGAAGACTCATGCTGAACACAGGTGTGGTCTCAGGAGAATAATGTCCGGAGTTAGAGAATGGATGAATCACACTGAAATTGTTAATTTACGTGAAGAGGTGTCAAGGGTTTCAGAACCGCCACGCGGAGCTCCTTCAAGGTACAACACAGCGTACTTTGGTTGGTTGGTGACAGTTTTCCTCCCACAGATCTATACTTTCCTAAGAATTATTAATGTTAATGCCAGAGTGTGATTTTAAGTAACTTTGATTCGCGCCGATGAAAGCCTCCATTCCCTTCTCGTTCCGCGTCTAGGTCAGTCAGTGGGAAGCGTGTGTGCTCCTACTGTAATAACATTCTGGGCAAAGGAGCCGCCATGATCATCGAGTCCCTGGGTCTTTGTTATCATTTGCATTGTTTTAAGGTGAGACCGAGATGAACAGCCTGCAGGCCCGCAAAGCTTTGCTTGGAGAGCGCATGGCTTCTTGGCGGGCTGGGTGTGAATGTCCCACTAACCAACTCGGTGCTACATTTTGTCAGTCTGTGCTGCACTTTGAATCGCAAATTGCCTGTTCTTAAATCTTGAACCTAGTCTCAAAAATTAAATCCAGAAACACTATGCACTCCTGGTCTTTAGTCTGTTAAGATTCTATGAGTAATTTACAGCTTATATGTCCTTTCTTTAACATGATGTCACAGGCATACTTGAAATATAATTTAGCAGTGTTATTAACAGCATGGGGACATGCAAATCGGAGTCTCTGAGAGCCTAGCTTTGATAGGGAGGGTATGTAAAGAAGAGCATTGTCAAATATTTTTACGATTGCAAAGCCTGCTTACACCTGATGGGTTTTTGCACATAAGAACTAAACCTGTAATTTACTTCATTTTGCATTCTCTGTCTTTAGAGACACATCTGTGTGATTCTAGAACTTGCACTGTGCCAGAAAGAGACTCTGGTTCTTATTCCTGGAGTCCTGCAGAACACAGCTTGCTTAAGCCTGTGTATCGCTGGCTTGAGTAGTTCCTGGGCAGAACAGAACCAGTCAAAATAATCAGTGTTTGGGCATGTCGAACCAATGTATGCAGTCTCACAATGCAAGTGCCATGCGCAAACACTCGCCAAGCTGGGGCAGCAGGCCACCAGGCGTTGCCCGCCTCAGAGGAAAGTGCCAGAACCCCACTCCCCATTCACTTCTCTGGTTCTTCCATGTAATGCCTTATCCTCTCACATTCCCCTGTAAGAAATGAAGACTCCGTTCTTTCCAGCCAATCAGCAGATCATTTTTACTCTTTTGGTATATTTAGAACGATCATTTTGGCTCTTAAAATTAGACTTATGCATTCTTTAATGTCTCATCTGGCAGGCTTGATTTTAATCTACTAATTATCTTTGGGGCTTTTTTTTTTCTTTGCTGAAACAATTCTAAGAGCTTAAAAGTTGCATTCTGCTCAATTTCCACCCCGCCACCCCGGGAGTGCCCTGAGGGTTCTCCAACTGACTGATTGTGGTGGTTCTTTCTTGTCCCTCAGTGTGTGGCCTGTGAGTGTCATCTCGGAGGCTCCAGCTCAGGAGCCGAAGTCAGAATCAGAAACCACCAACTCTACTGCAACGACTGCTATCTCAGATTCAAATGTAAGAGAGCAAATCAGGGAGAAAATTTCTTGTCTTTTAAGGAGACCACGGGTTCCCATGCATTTCCCTGAATCTGCAGCCATGTCCCCCTCAAGCTCCCTGCCTTAGAATTCCAGGCTTTAGGAAGCTTCGTGTGTCCCGCCCTTCAAAGCAGGTATGGTGAGCGGGTCAGCGCTCCAGACTCCAGCCACTCTCGGGAGGGTTGAGGGGCCAAGGAGTTGGAGAGGGACACCTGCCTGAGTCAGGACGGCATCCATTAGAAGACACTTCTAATGACTTGAGGCTATCAACAAACCCAAACAGACAGTTTAAAATGATCCTTCTGGGTAGACTGTACTCTGTTTCTTGGCTAAGAATCAGTCCCTCATTATCAGCTGATTTCTGTTACTTCACAGTGGGCTTTGTTTCTGTGACTTAGAACATGACCAACTTTAAAAACAGTGGTTTGAAAAAGGTAGTAAAGAATAGCTTATGCTTTGTTACTATATAAGCATATATTAGTATGATTAATTTTTTTTTTTAAAGATTTTATTTATTTATTTGAGAGAGAGAGAATGAGAGACAGAGAGCATGAGAGGGAGGAGGGTCAGAGGGAGAAGCAGACTCCCCGCCGAGCAGGGAGCCCGATGCGGGACTCGATCCCGGGACTCCAGGATCACGACCTGAGCCGAAGGCAGTCGCTTAACCAACTGAGCCACCCAGGCGCCCCATAGTATGATTAATATTTTTAAAAGGAGAACATGAATTCTGATTTTATGGTGTTTCGGTGTCCTTTTTGGGAAAACTGAGTTTTTCAAAAACTTCACATGCTAATTTGTGTAAGCATGTTTTTGTTTGTGTGTTATAAAACCGAGGATAGCTCCGATAGATTGCATGTCGTTTATAGCCACATAAAGACAACCATTACTGCTGTTGATATTTGGAACCTTGATGCTGGTAACATGTGTTTCTTCCTTATTGTGAAAGGATGTTACAAGTGGTATTAGCAAAACCATTTGCGTTTGAGCTCTGAGGTATTTACATGGCCCTTTATGTGAAGAGTGCTTTGAAAATGGTTTCAGTCCAGTCAACTCTCTTTTATCTGTCAGTGGGTTGTGAACCTTCGCTCCCTGGCGTCCGGTCCTTTTCTGGATACGACCACTGAGGTTGGAGAGTGGCAAGGCTGGGCACGTAATGGCGGGAGTGTGTGTATGTGTGTGCGTTTTTCTCTCTTGAATCAAATTCCCAAGCCAAATAGAATTGATTTTTGGAATCTTCAGGGGAAAATTGCCCATGCCTTTTCTCTCCTCCAGTACAAATAATAGAGAGTTGAGTGTAACTTATTTCTATATCAGCAGTTTATGTTTACTTCATTTTTGCAAAGAAAGGATTCTAGAACCGAGGCTGTGATCTGCCTAGCTTTATCTTAAGTGACTGACAGGTCACTCTTCTACCTCACGGGGCCATTCTCTGAGTGATTACTGCTATGTATCCCGGGCGGCAATATCTAAGTATTTCTCTATCCTAAGTACTTTTCTTTTTTTCTCCTTGCCTGATCAGCTGGACGGCCAACCGCCATGTGATGTAAGCCTCCATACGAAAGCACTGTTGCAGATAGAAGAAGAGGTGGTTGCTCCTGATGTAGATCTATAAATACGTGTTATATGTCGTTTTTGCTCTTTTTTTGAAAAGGATAACACTTCTTTTTTTTTAAATTTTTTGCCTCTCTAGATTACATCAGAGCATTATGGTCTTGGTAGAACCTATATTTTTGTTGTTGTTTATTTATAAGAAGGTGATTCTGTGTGTGTGGGGGGGGAAGTGCAGTATTTACTTTTTGAATTCAACATCTTAAAAGCACAAGGGAAAAATAAGAACTTCAAAATATTTTTGATGCTGATATTGATCTAGTTTGACTTTCTAGTGGTGTTTTGAAGAGGGTTATTTTATTGTTTTTTTTTTAAAAAGGTTCTGAAACATTATTTGAAATAGTTAATATAAATATATAATTGTGTTTGCTCTGTTTATTGTAATGTATACTAAATTAATGCAGAACCGTATAGGAAATTTCACTAAAATCTACCCACAAATTTGCTTTCTATGTCCTTCTTTTCATCTATGTAATATTGTGCTTTTTAAAAAAATTTTTTTAGCATATGTGACATTTTATTTGCTTGATGAGGGGATCTCTATTTTCTTCACCAGAATGATCACTAAGCAATGCCCAATAGAAAGCTGCTGCTTTTCATTAATACAGAATCATCATGGTTTGTATACCAAAAGTTTTCTCCAGGAACTAATAAGCCTTTCTGTTCCACTGTGTTTGTAAATAAACTTGCTGATGCATTAAGGACTGGTTCTCTTTTTTCTTCTGTGTGTGTGTATGTGTTTGTCTACCTCCCAGACCTTTTAATCCCATTTCAGTATTAAACTTGTGTTGATATTTTTTATTTAGCATCTTTACTGAGATAAAAAGTGACATATAAATAAATTCATATATTTAAACTGTACAATATGACAAGTTGGATATGTGTGATTACCTATGAAATTATCACCATAATCTTGATATTGTTTTTACTGAAAAATTTCACTAGGAACTTTATTTTTGATGGAAGGTTGTTTCTGAATGCTGTACACTTCTGTGGTAAGAGGTGAAATGAGTGGTGAATTGTTGGATCATTTGGATAAAATCTTTATTCTTCTGCTTCCCCAGTGATAAAGGAAAATAGCAGTGAGTTTAGAAAATCTATAGAGAAAAAAAAACCCAAATGTACCTTGTTTTAAAAATCTGGAATGGTGAAGCAAGAATACAAAACTTTAGCATGCTTTGAGCAAAAATATCAACTTGCATGAATCCTTTATAACAGTGAAAGTAGAATGAATAATTCTAGGGTATGAGAACTGTATTTGGAATCAGTTAGAAATAAGAAGCTCTAATACAGGAGAAAATTAAAAATTTAGTTTCTTTTGTTTTTTAGTACTTATTACTTTAATAATCTGAAATAAAGAATGTGCTTATTGGGGCACCTGGCTGGCTCAGGAGATAGGAGCATACGACTCCTGATCTTCGGGTTATAGTTTCAAGCTCCATGCTGGGTGTAGAGATTATTTAAAAATAAAATCTTAAAAAAAAAAAGAATGTGCTCATTGAAGAAAATTGATCAAATGCCCCAAAGCGTGCATATAACTCTCAATTCCCAAACTCCAAAGACAAGAGCTCTATTTGAACTCATTCTCTATTTACCCTGTATTCTTAGCATTGGATTGTGAATTTTTCTGTGTTCTTAAAATCGTTTCTATTTATTTATTAATAGTTGCATAGTGCTCCATTGTTTAGTGCTTTTAATGTTTAGTTGATAATTCTGGGTGTATTTCAACTGTTTCTAATGAACATTTTAATATGTATAATATGATTAGCTATATCCATATAAACATATTTCTCATTTAAATCCTGTGATGGACTCATATCTTATTTCTTTATATTTTCATAGATATTTTTTTTATTCTTATGTTAATCCCCATACATTACATCATTAGTTTTAGATGAAGTGTTCCATGATTCATTGTTTGCATATAACGCCCAGTGCTCCAGGCAATATATGCCCTCTTTAATACCCATCACCAGGCTAACCCATCCCCCCACCCCCCTCCCCTCTAAAACCCTCAGTTTGTTTCTCGGATATGAGATTACTGCCTCAGAATATAAGCTTAGATTAAAATATGCCTTTTTAAAGCTGTCATGGTATACATATTGCCAAAGTGGCTTCCAGCCAAAGCTGCCACCAGCTTAGATCCCACAAACAATACGTGGGCTTGTCCATTTCCGTGCATGCTCACCAAAATGAATTTCTGTTGCCTTGTTGTCTGCTTGACGTGCAGTGGCCCTCAATATGTAGTAGCTATAAAAATTAATAAATAAACCACTGCTTCAATTTCTGTCTTGTTAATTCCGCTTGTTCAGGCCTCTAGTGCAAGCTTTAGTTCATACGTGGTGATTTTAGTTTTCTGATCCAACATCTTTTCTTTTAGTCTTTTTCATCTAAGCCTCTTGTCTTTTCATCTCTTCTGTTGACTTTTCTTCTCAGTATGTTCTTAGGACTTTTTTCTAGTGTTTCTCACATTATCTTGCTCAGTGATGACAATTTTGTTAGTACAAATTGTTAGGACAGTTTTCAGAGGTTTTCTTCTAAGACACTGGTTCTATGGGACCTCTGTATACACCCGTGAGTATGTGTTGCTCTATCTAGGAACAAGGAAAGAGGCAGTCATTCAATATTTTTTATTCATACTTTATGTCCCTGGCAGTTTTTGGCACTGTAGATAGAACAACACATAAATTTGAAGTCTTGCTTTTAATTGTGCTTAGATTTCTAGTTGGGAGAGAGAAAGATAAAGAAAGGCATGAAAATGTAACCTATGATAAGGGTCATGAAGAAGAAGTGATGCAGAGTGTTAAGGAGGATACTCAAATGCTGGCAACGAGAGTTTGGCCGTGCTTTTTATAATTATAAAGGGTTGTCAGAGGCTGCCTCTTTGACCTTTGAGCCAAAGCCTGAAGGAATGAGGGAGCAAACCTTACAGGGGAGGGGAAAGCATGACAGACATAGACAACTGCATGTGCAGAAGTCTTAGGGTAGAATATTTGGTGTGTTCAAGAAGCCACCATGGGGTTGGAACAGAATGAGAAAGAGGATGGGAGATATGGGGAGGGAGGGCACAGGTCAGCAGACTCTTCCAGAACTTTGGCTCTTACTTTGAATGAGAGAGGGAGATATTAGAGGGTTGAGCAGAGGAGGGAAATGAATTACCATTTTATAAGGACTACAGACCACTGTGTGAACAACAGACTACAGAAGGGCAAAGTTAAAGCTGGGAGACGAGTCTGGACTCTACTGAAATTGTCCAGGCAGAAGATGTTTTCTTCAGCAGGGTAGGGGCAGGGGAGGTAACGAGGAGTGGGCAGATGAGATAGTGTGTGTTTGTGTCTTGAAGGTGAAGCTGACAATCTGATGACGGGTTGGATGAATTGTGAGAGAAAGGGAAGAGTCAAAGTCTAAAGTGTTGTCTTGAGGAGCTGAAAATTAGAATCTTCATTTTCTGAAATGGATGAGGTTGTGGGTAGAACACATTTGGGGTGGTGGGGCAGGGAGATCAGAAGTTTGGTTTTCAAACATGGTAAGGTGGAACAGTCTATAGATGATTAATGACAGTGTGGAGTAGGCAACTGGCTATGCAAGTCTGGAGTTCAGGGGGTCAGGCCGGAGAGATGAATGTAGAGTCATCAGGATATAGATAAAACCTAAGCTGAGAATTGGGAAGACCTCCCCTGGGTTCTGAATAACTAGAGAAGATGTCCAAGGATGGAATCCTGAGAAGCCTGGAACCTCTGCAGTGCTAAATGCAGAAAGGAAAGTAGCATGAAAGTTTATTCTATTCAAGAATATACTTGTGGCTTTTTACCTAATTTTCATTTATATCACAGGGTGAGAACTACCAAAAAAAAAAAAAAAAGTAGAAATGATCTGGATTCTGAGGACTACAAATGGAATAGTCAGCCCTGCCTATTAGAATTGAGGGACAGGTCTAATAGGATATGGCAGGGCTGGGATTCTACTTTAACATCCATCCCTGCAATCTGGAAGAGGGATTAAATGCATGTTAATATAGGTCCCAGGTCATATCAGTAAAAATAGCCTTAAAAAACCCTAATTTGTCCTTAATATCCGTGAGTATGAGACAGGAGAAAAGCCAGCTTCAGGATTCTTGTCATAAAGCACGTAGGTGCTGGGAGTATATTTGATGAATACAGAGCAATCCTTACTCTCCTATGGAGAAGAGGAGCACATACCCACAAGACTTTTGTACCCAGTGTGAGAGGCCACGAGGCCTTTACACTAAGGGAGTAGAAGTGACTTCCCTGCAGAGTTGATATTTGAACAGCATCTTTCAGAGCAGACACAATCTTAGCAGATCATGTAGAAGGAACAAAATACCATTTGAGTGGAGGCCAAACTCCCAGAGTTTGTTTCCTTACTTTGCATTCCCATCAAAGCCATACACCATCTGGCCTGTCTTACAGAGGAATGGGAAGATCCCTTGATGGTCTGTGTGTGGTAGTGTACCCATAATGCTCTGAGGGTCTGGCCTAGGGTGGGGAGACCGCAAGAAGGAATAAGGTGAGAGATCATGACCCCGAAATGGGACAAGACCTAAACGGTATTGAAAGAATAGCTCTGGGACCTCAACCTTGGGCAGGTTAGGTGGATACTGTTGCTAGAGATGAGCTCTGTTTTAGACATACTGTGAAGTTGACATGTGAACTGAAGTCTCTAAAGGTAGCTGGGTTTAAATAGAAAAAATGGTGTCCATTGTTTGTTCATTTGCCTGATCAAATTAAAGTTTATTTATTCACCTGAGAGGATGTCCAGAAGGTCGATTCATTCAGCAATTTAATAATGTCATCAAAGACCCATATCATTGATCTGAGGCTGTTTGGCCATTCATGAGGGTGGCCTCATCCCAAGGGTAGTTACTACCATGGTTACAAGATGGTTGATAGGCCTCATGCTTCCTCGTTCATATGCACTGGAAGAGAGACTGACTCTTCACTGCTCTTAAGTGTGTAGGGGAAATTTTCCAGAAGCCTTTAGAAAAACCTCTCTCCTCATTGGCTGGACTTAGGTTATTTGCCTATATTTGAAACAAGGGTAATCCTATCCTCTGGTAATCATGACCCCCTTAAGTAGAGTCCAACTTCCAAATAATGCAGTTGCTGATTGGAGTATGATTAAATGTTGGGGAGTCGTCCACAACATGTACTATTGTTAGCCTTTGTGAATTCCCTAGAAAATGGAGTATTTGCTTTGTGCAAGACCCTGTCTTGCATTCATAATTAAAACCTGTCAGTGAGTTTCTTAAAGAACAATACAGAAGACACAGGGGGAGGAATGAGAGTATTTCCTTTTATCATATCCAAAAAGGACCATTTGAGGGAGTAGTTGATAGAAAATTTAATCTGTTCAAGCAAATATAAAAGATTAGTTCATGGTGGCGATGAGGTGAAAAATTGGGAAACTGGATAATTTGTGAATACTTTGTTTATATAAAAGTGTGCAAAATACTCTCATACTTTTTCAGGTTTCTTAGATAAAAATTCATGAAACCATGGGTTAAATACTCATCTTTTTATGATTAAATTTTAAGCTTCTTAAGATTATTGATTTTATATGCTATAATCCCATGATATCGTTTAACACATTCAGTTGACCCCCTAACTCTCTTGAAGATTCTATTTGACAACTCTGTGTGAAGCTTTTTAGTGCTTTCACTATTCAAGATCCTCAAAGCTCT